GACGTTCCGCGCGTGCTCGTAATCGCTCTCGCTCGCGGTCTCGCCGGTCAACGAACTGTAAAAGTCCTTGCGCGGCGGTAATTCCGTCACCAGCAACTTATCGAAGCCGTCGACGTACTCGTACGGAAATACACCTTTACGCGTGAGCAGGTCGAAATCGCTTTCGCTTAGTTCTGAAAATTCCAAACGCATGATTTTTAGCTTGTCCTTATTGAGATACGACGCTAATTTCTCGAGACTGGTGCTGAGAAATTTAAACGAATCCACGAATCGCAATTTCGCGCAGTTTCCCCAGTTAACGCCTTCCCTTACATACTTCGTGAACGATATGTACAACTCTTTGGTGAGCGGTAATAAATCGATTCTACCCTCGAAGCTGTTGGCGATATCTTTGATAATAAAGTGGGCATCGTAACCGGACAGATTGTGAAAGAACACAGGAATAACGTACGAGTCTCTATAATTTAGGTTGCAACGCGGATGCGCGGGACCTCTGTAACGTCCGGTCAAGTGGCAGTGATCGCGCACGCGTTGACCGTCCTCCGATTTGAACGGTCTCTCGCATATGTGGCAGCTCGTCGCGCTCCAAAAATTTCGTGTCTCGTCCAACGTGAGCTCCGCCATGGTCACGTTCGTCATGAGTATCTCCTTCGCGCGATGCGCGATAACGTTGAGCTCGTTGACGAACCACGACACGCAGTCCTCGCCGCGACGAAATCTGTACCCGGGTCCAATCTCGTCGTACGGGCTGCACAGGTAGTATCCCACGCTAAACGCTCTGTGATGCTGATATGTGTATCTCTTGACGTTATCGTTGTCTATCTTTTCTTTCTCCAACACGCATTCCAGATCGGCGTAGACCACGAAAGGAAGTCGTTCTTTTCTACTGTGATCGCGAAAAAACAACCATTTGTCATCGTCGTTCGGAAGAACGATGGCGCAGTCGTTCATCTTTCCGCAGTCGACGCTGTGAGCGGACAATTTCTCTCTCGATTGAAAGTAGTGTAAGCATCTGAAAATAAAATATGTATGATTTTTTTATTCCACATACATCGCACTCTTTTTTTTTTTATACCTACCGATCGCATATGTACTTCATGTTCTTGCTCCTGTTTAACTGAGACCCCAACAATCGCGACAGATTCTTTATACACGCGAAATGACCGCCGTTCGAGTTGTTTCGCGAATCTGACAGATACAACAGATTGACATGTCTGTCCTTCTTATCGTTGGTCAGCTGTAAAGGAACGATCTCGTCGTTCCGTCTCTTCCGCCAAGTGGTGAAAACGTTGACGGATATGTCGTTGAGTCGTTTGAACCTCGAAATTTGCCTCAGAGTCATAGGAAACTCGATCCCTTCCAAATTCAGCACCGTCGCGTAATAGGGATACGACCCGCATCGATCCACGTTCCGCAGAGCGGGATACAAAGCGGAGATTACCGCCCACGCGAAACACGCGTTGTCGTATGAATGCACGTTGATCACCGCTTTCTTTACCTTTATCCATTGCGGTATTTCAAACCAACATCCGGCGTGCATGGGATTGCACTTGTTCACGTTCACGATCAGGTTCAATATACGCGACAATGCCCAGCCACTGTCGCGTTCCTGAAACTCATCCAGACCCGCCAGAGTGGCATCGATTACGTATCTGTCGTACCATTCTCGCAAATCAGCCGTAGGAAAGAGCTGACGATTTCCCGTGGCGACGCTTTTCACGTCGGTTTTAACCCCCGCGACAAACTCGCCATTGAAAACTGTGTTGACCTTCAGGCACGCTTGTCTCTCGTGATTGACGCGCACTTGTTCGAGCACCGTGCGCCTCGCGTCCTCGAGAAATAATCGAGGATCAACGTGATTCGAGTTTATAACCGCACCGGTCAGTACGCGATTTTCGAAAGCCGTCTCTATCTCCGTCCACAAAAATCCTCTGCTCGGTTCGCCGTGACCGGCGCCCACCTGCGCGAAACGTTGACGCAGAGCGTTTCTCGTTCCTTCCAATCGCGCCACTCGAACGATAAGAGAGTTCAACGTTCCGGTGTACGTCGGGCGGGTTTTTTCTCGGCATCTCTCTCGCAGAGACGCGAGACGCTCTTCGCACCGTCGTTCCCACTCGCGATACGCGTCCGACGAGTCGAGGCCCGTGGCGAATTCGATGAGATCGCGATCCTCCTCCGACATTTTTTTTTTTATATTTAATCGTCACACACTTCAAACTGACAATCTAATTGCGCGAGGATTAGCGTTCTCTCGCGCTTCGCGCTTATACAGTGCCCGCGAGAACGGTACGCTCGCGTTATTTCCCCCGTTCGAAACTCTCGCTCCCGGCCCCCGTTATCTCATTCCCGTTCGCGTTCTCTTTCCCTCGCGCGTTCTCGCTCGCAGTCTCTCTCGCGCCCCCCGTCCCGTCGCGATCGACCTTCCGACTCGCTCAACCTCGCGCTGACCGCCTCTCCTCCCTCGAAAAGTATCTCGCTTTCCGCGCCCGAATGTAATCAAGCTAAAACCTTTTGGTTTAAACAAATTCAAGCCGATCTGTTTTCGAGCGAAATCAACACGTTGTCACGAAATCAAAACTTATCGACTAAAAGCTCAATCTCTCTCTTTGACCGTTTTTAGATCAAGACAGAGTTCTACGCGTGGGTGGGCGCCTCGGCAACGCTCCCTTACCATTTCCCGTACGCCATCCTATCTTATTATCTTCGCATCCCCTTGTCAAGCTCCTCGTAAATCAAGCTCACTTACGAGCCTTGCACGCGGGACCTCAGCTCACCTTGAATATTCTCCGTCGCGACTTCTGGATCATTCGCGCGCGCAACATAGTCAAAGCGGTTATACATAATTGCGTTACATGCACGCGCGAGCGAGCGGCAGTTCCTACTCAAATCATGGGCAATCTGCCCGAGCCACGTGTAACCTCGACAATTCGCAGTTTTCTGCATTGCGGTGTGGATTATGCGGGACCAGTTCTTATTCGCGCTTCCTCCGGTCGCGGTATTACATCCCGCAAGGCGTACATAGCCTTATTTGTGTGTCTCGCGACAAAGGCCATCCACCTAGAGTTGGTTGGAGATTACTCTACTCCCGCGTTTCTAAACGCTTATTCCCGGTTCTGCGCTCGTCGCGGTCTTCCGCAATGTATGTATTCCGATAACGGAACTACCTTCGTCGGGGCAGACCGAGAAATGCATCGAGCGTACAAATCCGCCGTTCAAGACCCAAATTTTCTAAATTTAACCGCGTCAGATAACATTACGTGGAATTTCCTCCCTCCTTCAGCCCCGCATTTCGGCGGGCTATGGGAAGCGGGCGTGCGGAGTGTCAAAACTCATTTGCGTCGCGTCTTAGGGACTCACACTTTAACCTTCGAAGAATTCTCGACCTTATTGTGTAGAATCGAAGCGTGTCTGAATTCTCGACCGATCGCTCCTCTCGCCGACACCCTCGAGGACTACGAATGTCTCACCCCCGGTCATTTTTTGGTCGGATCCGCTCTCACGGTCAACCCGGAACCATCTTTGCTCGATCTAAACGAGAATCGTTTGTCGCGATGGCAATTAGTCCGACACATTACCGAAAAATTCTGGAAAATGTGGAGTAACGACTACGTGAACACTCTACAACAACGAGCAAAATGGCGAACGGTCAAACCGCCGATCAGTCTCGGACAACTCGTCCTCTTGCGCAATCCCACGTTGCCCCCGTGCAAATGGGAGCTCGGCCGCATAACGCAATGCCATCCCGGGCCCGACGGTTTCACGCGCGTAGTGACCGTGAAAACGGCCACTTCCGAATACCAAAGGCCAATCGTAAAACTATGCGTTTTACCGGTCAACAGCGAGGCGACGAGCAATTAATCATACTTCTTGCGTCAATGCGAGACGCGCGCTAGATCTAAGTATTATATTCTAAGCTAGTTTAAGCAATTCGTCTATGTTATTCCACGGCGGGCGGCGTTGCCCTTTTAATTTTCTGTATGTCTTTGTAAACTTCTCGCGCTGATGTTTTGTGTTTTTCTATTATCACGCATTATTTCGAAACTATCGTTCCGAGGCGGGCGGTATGTTCGAGATTCGTTGAACTTTTCTACGCGAAACATCGGCTCGAAACCATTATTATATTTAACATCGAGAAATACCGATGTTTATGTTGTTCGAGCTCTGTCGAACTTGTGCGAAATACGTTCCCCGCGATCCCCGCGCCCTCGAGGCCCATCGATCGCGATCACGCGTTACGAGAGTGCTCCCTTAGTTGTCGAAGCACGGAAACGGCTGTTTTGACGCGTGATGTGACCATACGGACGAATAGCGATTCAGCTCTCATCGCGCGTTCGTTCCTGAAAAACAAACCTCTTGAGTAAACGGCGAATTCGCTCGCCGGACAGTCAGTCGTTGCTGAGGATTCCTAGCCTCAAGTCGTGGGCCAGACCTCATAGCCAAAAGTCGTCGCGTATCAATCCTCGTCTAAAGACAGCACGGCTCTCTCCCTCTTAAATCGCTGCTTGAATCGCTACTCGCTCGTTTCGTCTTAAAGTGCGGATCAAAGTTATTTATAATTTAAGTGTGCTACTTGGCGAGGGGTCCGAAAACTTTCGGTCGTGCTCCGCTCGCGATCGTTCTTCTGCCGCGCGCTCAAGATTTCTGTTCGACGCGTACAAGATCTCCGCTACGCGAAAGGCTTCGATGTGAGAAGCTGAGACAAGATTTCCGTTCGCGATATCTGGCAGAAAAGTACGAACGACTCAGAAAATTTCCAAATCCGCGGCGCACGATCCGTTGTTCCCCCTCGCGTCTTTTCCTTTCTTGAAATAAAGACTATATATTTCTATGTGCAATCTGTGTTACGAGTGCTTTAGTCCTCATTCCTCCCGCGAATTTACGACTCGCGTTATCCACGCATCTCGCTCAACTCTGAGTGGAATCCAGATTCAGGGCGACCGTCGTAAAGCGACGCCCGAACAGAGTTGAAAGGTCGTTTTTAGGGACGCCAACCCTTTACAAAATCATCTTACATTTACTCACTTTCTGCCGCCTAAATATATATATATATTGCTTATAGATAAGTTACAAAATTGATATTAACTCTCGATTGCGCTCTAGAATCCTCGCAGATATTTTTTCTACGATCTTAAAAAATGCAAGTTTGCATTTCAGCCACTAGTCTACAACTACTACTACATCATAGCGCCGTATTCAGTCGACGTCGACGATCTCATCCTTGTTATCACCACTTGTAGAAGCGTCCGAATCATTTGTCCGAATCCTTGGATTAGCTCCAGGAATTTTAATTTCTGCTATTTTATCACAAATTATTTGTGCTTCCATTTCCATTTTATGAATTTCAATTAGTGTTTTATCAAATATACCTTTTTGTAGTTCACCGATGAAATTTATACATCTGTGTCTGATAAACAAAAAAAAACATTAATCGCGACCGTCTGTTTGCGAGTGAAAAAAAAAAATAATTGTACTTACACATATCGGAATAAGTCCTCTTTGTCTTCCATGTTGTATTGTAATTTAATACATTTGGGCGTAATTTTACGCATGTGTTTGACCACAGCGTACACTTTCGCAGCGCTTTTCTTCATAGATGTTGCAGTAGTAGCTAGATTTTCAACGTCTTTAACTAACATGTCGCTGGCTTCCACTAACAGTTTTAAGTCCTCCATTGCAAAAACGACTTTAACGGTAGCTCATAAATTGAGACTCCTTATATACATATTAAAGAGATAATTTTTACGGTAAAAGTGTGAAAATAGATTTTATCTTCGAACGTAAGTTCCTGTTTTCCCTACATTATCACATGAAATTTTAATATATAAAGATCGTAAATTCCTGTTTTTCCTACATTATCACATGAAATTTTAATATATATATATAAAGATAAAGCATCTAATTTCACATATAAGTATATATATGTGGGAACCGGGAATTTTCCGTGGTTGACAGCGCCGAGAGACCGGACATTCGAGCCTCGACGGTGGCGTCTAAACACGCACGCCTTATCGCGAACGGCGACCGACAGACACGGCGAGGGGGGGCTTTAAGAAGCGAGCTTTGAGTAGAGAGGAGAGGAGAGAGTTAGTCGAGAAGGAGAATCTTCCGTGAACGGTCAAGCCATTGCGCTTTTATCTGTATCGAATAAAGTCTCTTTTACCAGTGAACTTCGTATCCTGATTTCGGATCCTACAAACTTGGGGGCTCGTCCGGGATCACGAGTCGGAACCGCGACGGAAATAGTGTTGCGGACTGAATTTTCTGGTGCGAGAGAAGTGACCGTCATTGCACGGGAGACGACACGACGAACCGAGTCCATAAGGCGGGACAACGTTGTCTGAGTGACGACGCGGTAAAACTATATTCTGCGAGGTGGCAGATACGGTGAGGTGCGATTAC